AATACAAAATATAAACCTAACAATACTTTTATTATTTTGTAGGATATTTCGAGTAGTACAATTATTAAAGATGTGACAAAAATGAGGTCTTGAAATATAAATTATATTAATTGTTGTATGTATATAACTTTGCAAATATATGTAAAAGTTTATATGAACACTTAGATGTAGTGAATTTAGAAGAATGACGATGGTGAATGGTAGTCGAGATGAGTAAAATGGCATTCACGTTGATTTTAATGCTTTCATTTCATTGATAAATTATATTAGAAGTAATTTGATGCGTTTGGGAAGTGTTTAGAAAACATTTAATTTTTTTTTTATTACTCTCAAAGTAAGGAGTCCTCAATATCTCTGTCACTAGACATGTATATTGAATATATAGGAGACCACTATTTAATCAGAAGTTATATATTTAAAAAATAATATATATGTGTCGATTCAATACTGATAGGGACTATTGAGTTGCAAACTTTGATAATAATAATATTTTTAAGTGATATATAAGTGAATATTACATATGGGTTTTCGAAATGTGCGGATAAAAAGTAATTTGAGTATTTATAAATAACTTATAAACAAGAGCCTTGTTAATTTCTTTCAAAATGTGTGGATAAAAAGTAATTTCAGTATTTATAAATAATTTATAAACGTGGGCTGTGGTCAATTTCAACAAATTTTTTTGGCTAAATTCTACATGTTCAAATTGCATCTGGGGTATACAATTGTTTACCACTTTTTAAAGTTTATGTAGTCAGAAAAAAAGAAATAAAAATTTAGTTATTTAATTTTATATTCAATATTTTTTTTATTTAAACCAACATTTTTTTTAAAAAAATCAGCAAACAAATAACTCATTAATCAAATCACCAAAAACCACGTGTGAACAAAGGAATACAGATTGCCTATTGAAACAAACATGTATCTAAAGTAGCGAAAGAAACCTAAATGTTGGCTATTTTGTTCATTTATTCTAATAAAAATTTGATACAGAGATAATTTTCATAAATAAATCACCATATTAACATTATAAAAGTTTACTACCTACTGTTCAACAAATAGAGGGAAAATTGTAATCCTCAACCTACTGTTCACATAGTAAGTTAGATTTCAAACTTCCAGTACCATTTGTAACGACTCGGGTCTCACTTAACGGGCTGTTCCGGCCGTTAGATCGACGATGTACTGTCCCCACTGTACCAACATGGGTCCTTTCAGCATGCCTTATCCTCACTCGCACCCTCCTTAAGAAAACTTCCCAGGAGGTCACCCATCATAGAATTGCTCCAAGTCAAGCAAGCTTAACTGTAGAGTTTCTAAAGATAGATTTTCGGAAAAGAAGGTGCACCTTGTTGGTATGAGTAGTACCTGTCAAAATCTTTTAAACTTTCATGGTCTTGGTATTACACCATTACTGATGAGTCTCTAATGGAGAAACTTGAAACTGTTTTAATCTTCTTTAAACTGTCATATGATAAACTAGTTGGGTATACGATGGTTGCGTGATGATTTGAATAGATGCACGGAGTTTTCTTTATTAAGAATTAATTATCGAGAATTAATGTGTTAGTTAAGCAATTGATAAGATCGATGCTACAATTTTCTGAAAAGAAATTAAAGAAAGAAGAAATTTGATTCCAGGTAAATGGATAGTCTTCTTTTATTCGAAATTAAGCATGTGACGGCATTACAGATTCAAAAAAAATAAAAAAAAATCACCATTAAGGTTTCCTCTTGAAAAAAATTGGCAACTTGAAGGAATTGAATTGATTTCTTTAAATTTCTTACCAGTTCTTGGGGTTGTTTGATTTTCTTTGCCTTTGAATTGTCTCCTTGACTGTTGTTTACATGATAAACAAGAATAAAAAATATTAGTTCCCCTTTGTTGAAAATCACATGTGATATTTTTCCTGACAGCAAAAAAAATAAAAACTAATAATAATTATTTCTTGATCAGTTTAATATGATTTATAATTGGT